TAGACATCGGTTCAATGGTCAAGAAATTAGACGTCTGCATGCGAAAAAACCAAAAGTCTTTTGCTTGAATCCTGCGGGTCGCAGTGATCGTAGACGCGCACAGCCACTAATGAGGGTTCCTATACCTGGGATATGGCTGCCTTTCAGTACCTCCAAGATCTTGATGCTGGTTGTCTAACATTAGTCCTCCAGGATCTTGAATTTGGCAGTCTAACATTAGTCAATCCATGCCAACTCATCAATGCTTACTAAAAATGTTTTATTTTTTTTTCCCAATTACAAATATCTAGCGCATTTAGTTATCTGTTTACATAGCCTAGATTCAAGAAATGTCCTTGACGGTGTTGTATTGATTTTTTCGTCAATTCCTTCAACTACTTACCTCTTACTTGACTTTCTCTGTATTCTTCCCTCCTCCTTCTTCTCTATTTTTAAATTGTTTTTGTATTTTTCTTGGAATTTTCATTGTTTGTTTATTGTAATGAAGGTTGTTGTTGTTGTTGATGTTAAGTCAAAATGATTCAACTTGTGTTTTCCTAATGCAGAAAACAGAATTAGAGATTTTTTTGGGGGGGGGGGGCAATTATGATTATTTGTTCATAAACTAGGTTATCTAATCATATTTCAAATTTGCATTACTGGTTATGATATATATATATATATATATATATATATATATATATATATATATTCAGTGAAATAATGTATCGATCACTGTTAGATCACTTGTAGAAATGTGGAAGCATTAACTGATGGTCGTTTAATCCTAGGGTGGAGCTTATTAGCAGTGTTCGCGAGTGACTAACTTCGTGATGAAGTTTCTGAAGTTTTAGTGAGAATCTGTGATCACTAGTAGTGGAGTTCAGCCATGTTGGGTGATGGCATTTACCTACCAAACTCACAATGGGTAAGGTGGCGCAACAGAGTTGTTTGATTGAAGTTAGACACTAACACTATTGGATGCCGGCTAAGCAGTTCAGAGGTTAAATGTTCGCGCGTGAAACGGAAGCTCCTGGGTTCTATTCCAATGTACGAGGGTTTGTGGCTGTACACTGTGATTTCTGGTCTAACATTGATCGATTCACGAATCCCTTAAGTTATTTAACTCTTGATAATCTTTTTACGATCGGTACACTTCTATGAAAAATACTTACTGCCAAATATAAACAAGGTTGTAGTATAGTTCAAAGCTGTTGCATGTCTTAATATCAGATTCGTCGAAATCTATTCAGAACACATCATCTTTTCTCAGTTATTCGATTGTATGCAAAATGCTAAATTCATTTATATCTTATACGCTGAGAAAAGAGGATTTAACTTGAAATCGTGAATGAACTGTTGTCAAACCACCATAGGAAACTTCGAATTACTGGCACGCCGTTTCATCCTAGTATGGAACTCATTGTCAGTGAGCATCCACTACTAATGATACCTTCAGGACTCGAACTCAGAACCTTTGATCCTGCGGTCAAATACATAACATCTGGACCACTGACACAGTATCTGTCGATGTCACTGTCTAACTCTGATCAATCTAAGAGTTTTACGCAATCTCACCTATTGTATTCGGCAGTTATTGCCTACATCTGACAAGAGTGAACTACACTCTTGTCAGTCTTCTCACTAGAACTCCGAGAATTTGTTCACGTAACTAGTCACTCGTGTGCACATTTTCAAGTTTCTAATGTATAGGGATGGCAAATCAATAGATGAAGTAGTGAAACTTCATCAGTTGAGGTGGTTGGGACATGTGCTGCGTATGCCTAACCACCAACTGCCTCGACGAGCTATTTTTTGTAGTGTAAGAGTAGGTTAGAAGAAAGCTAGGGGCGGCCAAACCAAAACATGGCACAAATCCATGAAGTCACTGACAAGTGGTATGAGTCATGTTGGTAGATGTAGGCTATCTGGTTGAAGTCGGCGAGACGAGAGTCACCGATGATTAGAGACCTTAAACGACATGGCTCATAATCGTTTGCAATGACGCAGATGCATCCACTCTTTGCGTTGTATGAAGTTCTAAGCTTCTGCATTCCTCATAATCTCTACCTTTCTCCTTCTAAATTTATGTTACTGAATTATACTTCTCGAATCATATCTTCGCTCCCTAATCTTCTCCATTACTGCTAATACTTCTACTATTGTTATCACTCTTGGATTTGAACTGAAAGTTGCGTCTCTGTGTGCTAATGTGTGGTATGGCAACCTGAACTGATGTACATGAGTACGTACAAAGTTCTGCATTGTATCTATCTGTCTGCCTGTCATGCATTTCAAAGTAAACCGATCATTTCCATGAAAAATTCTAATGCAAATGATGATGATTTATTGATGTTCGTGTTTCGTTTTCTTTTCTACTAAATTTTTGTTTTAAATTTTAATTGATTAGTGAATTTCGATTTTCTTCATCACATTGATTCAATTTCCTGTAAAATGAAACGTTTTGTTTTGTTTCATTAGGAGTTAATTGTTTTGCCTAAAATTTTATTGATTTTTAATTAAATTCATTTTTTATTTTTGTTTAAAACAAAAACTATGCAAGCTGTTGTTTTACTTTTGTCAACAGTATCCTATTTAAAAATGTTCGCTTATTTCCCGTAAATTTCTCAATCAATAATATCTGTATGCTGTGCATTTTTAATGTAGACAAGTTTTAGTGAAAGGAACTTCTTTTTTAGCCATTTCCGACTCATTATTATTATTGTTACTATTTTGTAATGACAAAACAGTGTGATTGAAAATCGATATCAGTTATACAAATGTTAATTTAGGTACTTACTTACTTCGCACTTACTTACTTACTCACTTACTTACTTACTTGCTTACTTATGCACTTACGCCTGTTACCGCTAACGCAGCGAATCATTTTTCTGGTTGGAGAGTTGGATTTCCACGGGATAGAGTCGCTCAGCCGCATCTTCAATACTCCTCCTTAATCAAGCCATCGGACCAGCTTACACTAACTTACTTACCTACCTACTTGCCCACTTACTAACTTACTGACTGATTTACTGACTTAGTTACATACTTATGCACTTACTTACTTACTTACTTACTTACTTATGCATTTACTTATGCACTTACTTAATTACCTACTCACTTATTTACTTACTTACTTACTTATGAACTTATGCACCTACTTACTTAGTTACTTACTTACTTACTTGCTTACTTACTTACTTACTTGCTCACTTACTTACTTACTTACTTACTTACTTACTCATGCACTTACTTACTTAGGCCTGTTACCGCTAACGGAGCATTGGCCGCCGACCAACGAATCATTTTTCTAGTTAATTGTTTGTTTTGGCGATTTGAATTTTTACAGGATGAGGTCTGTAAGGCTAATGTTTAACCCTCCTCCTTTATCCGACCTTCAAATCCGCATCGAATCTAAGTAACTTGATCAGAAAGCAGCCGCAATGGAGTAGATTTTTCCTTCGGAAACTTAAACTCTAACATTATTTGCTTTTTCTCTGTTCTTGATACCATCGTGTTGTTTCAGTTTCGAATAGATGTTCTCTAATTTAAGTTAAATAGCTAAGTGCACATTTAGGTGGTATTTTACCACGGCACTATTCAATATAGGATGGTGGTTGAGCTTTTACTTATATGGACTATAGAACAGAGAAACCAATTGAAAAGTTTAAATGGGTAACTGTTAACTTGCAAGATTTGGAGTTTATGAAAACATTCCATGATAAAAATTGTTCATATTCACACATAAATACCGTTAAATGCCGGCTCAGTGGTTGAGATGTGTTTGGCGTTCGTACGCAAGACGGAAGGTCCTGGGTTCGAATCCTGCTGAGTGGCGCGAGTCAGTAGATCCCATACCATGGCGAAATGGTAGTCTGTTACTTTCAGGTTTCTATCGGTGGTCTAACAATGATTGATTCATAACTTTAGCAATGCAAAACGATCTCTATATCTCCAATTGAAAAAAACTGTAGTGTTTAAATCATTACTGCATGAATTGAGTATTTATTCAATAAAATTGTAAGTTGTTTAAACGCACCACTCCATCTTACGTTAAATTTTCTTTCCCTGATGAATGTTTCATCAAGCCCTACAGTCCTATATCTGTGGCGGATAGATAATGTTGTCCTAAACAAGACTTTAGGGCATAACCTCATGAAGTAGTTGTTGATTTCTTGAAACGACCAATGTTAAATGACTATCTGAACCTGTAACCACTGGACTGGCATTTCGTTCTAGTATGAGATGCGTCAACAATGCGCATAAGTGAATCAAACACAGGATCTTAAGATCCACGCACGAACGCTTAATCTATTGACTACAGAACCGACAATTAACTATGCGAGCGCCTAACTTCTATCAATTAACAATATCGCACGGCCATTATTCATCATCTTCGGTGAATTGATATGTTATCCTCGATAAAATTTAATTTCATCCATGATAGTTTCTCAATAGCAGTACACAGAATTCTTAGATTGATAAAAGTTAGACATTAACATCGTTGGATGCGGGCTAAGTGGTCTGGAGGTTCAATGGTTACTTGAGTGACCGAAGGTTCTGGGACGAAGGATCATGGATGTACATTGTTGATGAGTCCTATACTAGAACGAAACGGCTGTCCAGTGCAACCAGGTTTCTAAAGATGGTCTAAGTTTGATTGATTTATGACAATCCTAATAGTGCGAAGTTGAAGTATCGACATTTCAATACCGTCCATTTGTTTCTCAGTAGTAGCATACCAGCCATCGTGTTATCTTGGATCACACTTTTTCAAATCTTGTTAAGCGATAATTCATAAACTTTTCATAAAATTCTCCTAAATAGACATAACAATCAGATTGATGTAAAACTTGTCGGATTATCTTTTCTTCTGATTACGAATAGCAAGTTGCGTAACTATACAACACGGGGCACAGATTACATAACCTCTTTTTTTCCCCACCAAAACATTCTACTTTCATTCTGTGAAGAGGGAAGGCATTTTTTAACACGGATTACGTAATTTTCAATAAAAGAAAATGCTGTACGTATTTGGTATTTCAGTGATGACGTCATTGTTCCTATTCTTATTCACCATTTTTAGGTACTACAATCTTTGGTCATTTGTTTCCCTGTAGTGGACAAGCAATTCACACAATTCTATTGGGATATTTTAAATAATCGTTATAAATTAAGAAAATCAAAAAATTTAACTACAAAATCTGGTGTAAAAATCAATGTTTCCAAATTGGGTAAGCTGGTTTGTTTTATTTAGTTCTTTGTTGCTGATATTTTAAACAAACAACTATTCAATTGTTCAATGATGAATGCTTTTTTCGCCAACTTGTTCAACGATCAATTTTTCAATTGACTGGTATGATATGCTAATCTAACCAACGTTTTCCATGTCCCTATGTATATTCTACTGTGGCTATTGTTGTCAATTTTGAAACAATACAATGGTATATGTCCATTACGGGGTTGCGAAGATTGTTAAGTTACACATTTGTTTTTTGAAACCATGAATCGATCAATGTTAAACAACGTGGAGGCACTGCACGGCCGTTTCGTCCTGGTATGGGACTCATCAACAGGAATGCGCATGCATGACTCCTACACCTCTCAGGATTCGAACTCAGGACATTCGGTATTGTGCGCGAACGCCTAACCTCTGGATCACTGAGCGAGTTTCAAAACAGTGTGTAACTTAACAATTTTCACAACCACGTAATGCAAATTACCTGTGCTCACTAGTGACTAGCTTCGTGAGGAATCTTCTCCTACTTCTAGTGGGAAGACGTGACCAGTGAAGTTCAGCCTGTTCGGGTGTAGACAATAACTACCGAAGACTGTGTATGAGGTTGCGCAACTCCGTGAATTGATCAAGTTAGACACTGACATCGTCAGATACAGGCTCAGTGGTTCGAAGGTTAGGCGTTCGCGCATAATACCGAGGGTCCTGGGTCCGAATCCTGCGGGGTGCAGAAGTCTTGAATGGGCACTGCTGATGAGTCCCATACCAGGACGAAACTGTCGTCCAGTGCTTCCACGTTTATAATGGCGGTCTAACATTAATCGATTCATGGTTTCAAAAAAATGGTATGTGTGTCACGTCATTCAAACTGCGAAAACTTGCAGTTGTCTAGAAGACATAACTAGTAGTTTACACAGACGTCAGTTTATATTTGAAATAGTGAAGAAAATGTATACAGCTCGGATGATTTGATGATGGTTAGGGTTTCTTTCTTTGAATTTAGATAGTTTGGTTATGAACCAGTCTTTGTTCTGCTGAAAAATTATCATCCGTATAATATTCCAAATGAACTATTCAGCTCAGAGAATGAAACATTAGTTTTGTATGTTATAAAGTTAAAGTATTATCGATTGAAAAATTAATCAATAGTACACTGAATCGATATTTCGTAAAAATCAATAATCAATCATTGTTAGATTACCATTAGAATAGTGGAAGCACTGGACAGCCTTTTCACCGTAGTAAAGTGTACGATCTAAACTGAGGTTTGGATTGAAGAATAACTGTCTACCGTAGTTTAGATACGCGTTATTGCCTAGTTGTAATCCGAAACAAGTGATTTGGGTAAATGACAGTTATAATATTCATCAGAAATATAAATATGCATCATTACATCAACAATATTGTCAATCAGTTATTCCATCAACAATTGTTCAGTTAATCGAATCGATAGCAAAAACAAATGTTATTCTATCCCTCCTGGGTAGATCAGGTTCGTTCGACTGATAATATTTGGTTGTTTTAAAACACAGTGTTTCCTGTTGTGGAAAAGTGCTTCAATTCACAATCAAAATGCACAATTCCAGTCAGTGCAGTCAATCCAAATCAAAAGAGGAACAAATCAATATGACTGTCGCCATGACTTAGTGTCAGTTTAAAAAACATAATGCAGTTCCGAAAGAAACATGGAAATTCAGTTAAGGCAAAAGAAATAGAAACTATAATAAAATACAAATATTATCTGCATTACTGGGTTGTGAAGATTGTTAAGTTACACATTTTTGAAACCATGAATCGATCAATGTTAGACCACCATTAGAAACCTGGAAGCACTGTTTTGACGGCCGTTTCGTCCTGGTATGGGACTCCTCAGCAGTGCGCATCGAACAGACTAACAAAATGTACAACTGAGGGAATCAATAAGAACAAATTACATATGTAAACATGGAGGAATTTTCACTAACAAATCCTTCAAAAAATGGTTCTTACAGTAAAGAGCTCATCAGCAGTAAACATCTACGACCTCTACATAAAAGAATCAACTGCATGACCTGAGAAACTATTTTAAAAAAGCTGACAGATGTCGCTGCTCACAGTTGAATGTTTGCGAAAATTACATAAATTTTTTTTGTACAGCAATTATGTGATATCATGTTTCGTACATCTACAAATTTGTAAAAAAAATTTTGTGTTCAAGTCTGCACTACGATTGACATTAGAAAATGTCTTCAGTTACTTAACTCACCTCAGTGTTTTAGACCTTTTTAAGCAAAAATATAGAGAATCTTAGAGATAATGTATTTCATACACTTACATACGTCTGTTACCTCGAATGAGGCATAAACTGCCGATAAGGGCATTGTCCAACCACCTCTTTACTGAGGCTGCCTTTCTAGTTCTACTGAAGAAACTAAGTATTAATTTTAAAAATAATAGGTAATACAGCTTACTTACTTACTTACTTATGCACTTACTTACTTACTTACTTACTTACTTACTTATGCACTTATGCACTTATGCACTTACTTACTCACGCCTGTCAGCCCCAATGGAGCATAGGCCGACGACCAGTATTCTTCAGCCTACTCTGTCCTGAACCTTCCTTTCCAATTCTGTTCAATTTTTGTTCATTCTGCTCATATCTATCTCCATTTCTCGACGCAATATGTTTCTTGACCTTCCTATATTCCTTTGACTTTGAGAGTTCCAACTATGGACTTGTCTTGTGAGGTAGTTGGGTGAATCATTCTGAGTTCTGTCAAACTTGTATCAGGCTTTGTTATCTTTTCAAGAACCACTTTCTCTCTCTATATGTGTGTGTCTGTTCTTCACTTTGATAAAGTATTGCCTTTGTAAATACTGACATAACGATAAAGAATTTTAGTTCAGATGTATGTTTGTGGTTAAGAGAACTATTACTGTCTTTCTGAATATCTTGAAATCGTGAATTGATCAATGATAGATCATAGTTAGATTATCTGGAAGTACTGGATGTCAGTTTCGTCTTGGTTTGGGACTGACTCTTCAGCTTCGCGTATTCACGACTCCTGCTGCTCACAGGACTTGAATCTAGGACCTTTGGTCATGAATGCAAAAGCTTATTACCCTCTGAACCACTGAGCCTGTATCTCACCTCTGAACTTGTTACGCTCGTCTCTAAGTATGCTTAATACTATTACCGGTTCACCCTAGTCGAATAACGAGAACAAAACAATGAACCAGTGTTCAGGTAGGCTACTCTGATCCATTGACACATATGTACTAGCAAGAAGTCTTGATCTGGCCTAGGAAGTGTATTCTACCAACATTCACCGAGATTACAGAGATTAACAAACAGATAAGGTGAGTATTCATAGTTTTACTAGTATTTACTAACCTAAAAGTATAAAATGTAGAATATTATAGTATTTTTAATAAATGATGAAGGCTTCGTGATCAAGAGGTTTGGCGATCACGCGCGAGAAAATAGACCCTATGTTCGGTTTTTGGGTGGGAGTGATGAATGCGCATTGCCCAAGAGTCTCATACGAGGACAAAGCACCCATCCAGTGCTTCCAGGTTTCAAGCGATGGCTAAAGATTAATTGATTCATGATTTCCATGACACTTAACATATTCTTCACAATCCTATATAATCAATAACCAGTTTGTCAGTTATAAGCACTGCTCAATCTAGACTTCATGTTGATTGACATGTATCCGTATAGATCACTTGTAATCTTAAAGAGATTAATACTTGACGAGAAGTTGAAACCAATCTCATATAGTTTTACTTTCTAAAAAGTTATCACTAAACATTTCAGCTGAAAATAAATCTACTAACAGTTTGAAAAAGTGAACACAATATTGATTTATTTGTGTGTTCATATTGTAATTTGATCGATGACACTGTTTCGTTGTCACTAAGAGCTTAAATTTATTTGACATACATGACAGAATTAGGGACATTGTTGTTTTTTGATGTAATCGTGAACTGATCATGGTTAGACCATCATTAGAAAGCTAGAAGTACTGGATAGCCGTTTCGTCCTTGGATCGAACTCATCAGCTGTGCGCACTCACGACCCTCCCCCAACTAAAAAGGAATCGAATTCAAGACCTTCAGGCCCATACGCGAACGCCTAACCTCTAGGCCACAGAGCCGACATCAAACGATTGTAATATTCTAAGTATTGGGTTCGTCACTAAGTATGCTTGAGGCTATTACGAGTTTACCTTAGTCGATAAAGGCGAACGAGACTTTCACCAGAGTCCAGGTAGGCTACCTTGAAATCCAAGCGGAAGTAAGAAGGCTTTGTAAGCGTAGAAAGTATATTCTACAAACAACCAGTAATCACAATACAATCAAGCATACAACTCTCGTTTATTTATGCATCATAGAAACGTCCTTAGAACAATTATGAAAATAGCATACTAAAATACACAGCAGCCAATCACAGCCATGGATTTTCCTGGTGGGAATTGAAATCTCAAGGTCAACTGATCAGCCCATGCTGGCAAATTTGAAAACCAAAATAAGGCATTTATCAAGCGAGTTTTAGGGATCTAAAATCCTCAACATTAAGTTTGATCAATCTTAGGTTTTGTCCAACCTTATCCGTTGTCTTCGAAACAGGAACTACCTACACCCAACATGGTTGAACTTCACTAATCACCACTACTCTATGAATTAATGAAAATGTAACTTACTAAGAATGTCAGCTGATGTATTGTTCGTGTAAATATATATCTGTTTTTCTAAATAATAACTGTTTTTTACATCTTTAGATCATACAACACATTCTGGACCTTGTTCATTTATGATTTATTCAAAATCTGCTTATTCCAATCGTTTGATCAATGCAGCTGGACGTTTGTTCTGTTTGAAAAATACAAATTCTACCACTATACACAGTACACCGATGAATAAATTGGCTAACAATCAATTCCCAATGACGACAACACCAACCACAACTGCAACGAAACAATTCTGTTTTCCATTCAAAGATTCTACAGGTCAATTACAAAAATCATTACATCGAGATGAATCGATTCGTTCATCATTTTATCAGAAAATCAATGAGACACCTGATCAAGTGACAAATGTGGAAACAAATTGTGATCAGTCGATGAATCTAACACCAATCGTAACATTTACTGATGTAAGTTAACCGCGTTGGTTTAGTTGTTGGTCGAAAATATCAATGAAAACTTCATTATCGTTGTGTCCTATGAATTAGGGTTAATAGAGAGAGTAGGTTGGAAAATAATTGAGAAGCTTCTAAACTGAAGCTAATTACACTATCTCATTGGTTAGTGATAGTTCTAAATAATGTTGATAAAGTTAGTGTTTGGTTAGAGTTTCTCTTGTACTCTAACTTTCATGGTCAAGTGTTTTCAGTTTTGGCACCTGAACTAGTGATAGGGAGTGAAGTAATCGAGCGTGTTGATCACTTCACTTATCTGGGGAGTCTCATCAGTGCTGACAGCCTGGTGACTGACGAAATCTCGGCTCGGATACAGAAAGCTCAAATGGCTTTTGCCAATTTACGTCGTTTATAGCGTAGGCGAGATATCCGTTCGCTAAACAAAAGACGGGTGTACTGCGCAGCGGTTCGCTCCGTTATCCTATATGGATGCGAAACACTCCCGTTAAGAGTAGAAGATGTTCGTAGGTTACTGGTTTTCGATCAAAGATGTCTTAGAAGCATTGCTCGTATATCGTTGGACAACCGAGTAAGCAATGCTGTCGTTAGGAAACGAGTACTAAGTAAGGATGGCAGATCAATAGATAAAGTGGTGAAACTTCATCAGTTGAGGTGGTTGGGACATGTGTTACTTATGGCTAACCACCGACTGCCACGACGAGCTATGTTTTGTGGTGTAGGAGTGGGTTGGAAGAAAGTTAGGGGCGGCCAAACCAAAACATGGCATAAATCCATGAAGTCACTGACAGGTGGACTGCGTCATGTTGGTAGATATAGGCTACCTGGTTGGGGTCCGCGAGACGAAAGTCACCAATGGTTAGGTACCTTGAACTACATGACTCAGAATCGTCTGCAATAGTGCAGGTGCATTCACTGTTTGTGTTCTCTCAAATTTAAACCTTCTGAATTCCTCATCATCTTTATTTTTCTCTTTCTAAAGATATCTCACCTAATTATACTTCTCGAATCATATCTTCGAACCCTAATCCTCTCCGTTACTGCTTATACTTCTACTACTAAGGGATCTGAACTAACAAGTGCTTCTCTGTGCTAATATGGTAGAGCAACGTGAACTTGTTTCGCATTAAAGTAATATGGAGATTGTTGTGCTTGCACATGGCAAATCATGAACTAATTAATTGTTGGATCACCATTCCAGAAAGATGGAAGCAATAAATGGCGCATAGTTCGTCTTAATATGTGATTGTATCAACAATACGCATCCATAACTTCCGCTACTGGTTTGGATTCAAACCTAGGTCCTTTGATCTTGTACAATGATCGCTGATGCACACTGCTGATGAGTCCCATAACATGACGAAACCACCATCCAGTGATTTTAAGTTTCAAATGGTAATCTAACATTGATTGATTCATGATTTTATTTTTGTAAGAGTCATTGTGAAAACAATAAATCATCTGTAAACCCCCTACCAATGTCTCGCTCCAATGAAAGATGACTTTTTCACTGTTCTAACTTATATTTATCTAACACCAATCAGATTTTATCTGAGTTACTAGTCTCATTCAAATATCTAGTATCTTTTCTTAAAATTTATGACTATGAACACTCGAACTATTAAAATAAAACTAACTTAATTCATTCAGTTTCTGCAAAATCTTCATAATCGTGCTAAATTAAGCTACAACTTTTCATTTATATCAGAAATGTTACATCAATTACCAGTCACCAATCATAGTCTTCTTTCCAATTAACAAATATTCCCTAAGATTTTCAATTTTCCATTTTCTTTTCTGACATTTAGTCATCAGACGAAAAACTAATCAAATCGAAAGATGTGAAATTTTCATCTTATTCCAAAGTTGATGTACATAATGACATGGAAAAACTTCTAACGGATGATATAAACTATATGAATCGACATAAAACTCTACGACGTAATCATAGCCGTTATCGTTCATTACGTCGACGTCAAATGGAAAATTTAACTAGACGTGCTGAATGGTTTTTACAACCAACTACATTACCGGAAATTCGATTTACACCGGAAACATTTAAAAATTCCACTGAAACTAGTTCAATGTTCAATAATAATAATAATAACATGCCTCATCATAATCACAATAATCATACACAAACAACAACCACAATGTCTACCATGTCTTTATTAGAAGCACAACAACAACACCAACGGCAACAACATCAAATCACTGATAATCTATTCCAACATACAAATCGATTACAATTAATGAATCCACGGATTTTATTCACTTATTCCACTAATGATTTACATCACACTGATTATAATGAGACCATTGGTCTACCAAGTGAAACATTATCAGCTACAGAACCAATCAGTCCGAATAATCTATGCACTACAATGACACCGAACTATGGACATAGTTATACAAGTTTATTGAATGTTCCCTCCTCTTGTAATCAGTATTATGTAATCAAACAACCAACGGTCAATATGACCACTACACATACTAGTACTACTACTACAACAGACAATGCATTTCTATCATCAAATCTGTCACAAGCAGAGACAAATATCTCGACGAATTCACTCATGATGATGTATTATAGAATGCCGAAACATTCATTACCTTATGATTATAGTGATATGAATAGACAAACGAAATGGAATCGTACTGAACGTTTACAATCTAGTAGTTATGATAATTTTTACAGTATTACTTATCCATCACACCAGTTAACTGTTCAACCTTATGCAAATGTTGTTCGTGATAGCATTGAACATCGATCAAGAGATGCTAATAATAGTAATAATAATAATAATAGTAGTCATAATGATCATGACATAACTCCTGCTAGTGTTTCTATTTCTAATACGCTGGACACGAATACAACAACACTTTCATTAAGTACTACTACACAAAATGAGGTATACGATAGAGGTAATGCATTGTCATCGAATTCTTGTTTTGAGGGTAGAATTTCAAAATCTGATATACGTTGTTCTGATTGGTCAATTGATCAACCAATCCGTAATGAGTTATTAAGTCGACGTCGTAGTACTACTGCACTAATGACAATGACGACATTAGAACCTAAATAAAAAAGTCAATTACACACTACACATATATAAAATAATTGGCCTGTGAAAAATAATTACTTGTACTCACTGATTTATTTCGACAGAAAGTGTTTGTCCTTCTACCTACCTAGTCACTGATATACTTTAAATCCACAATGTATTGATATACTTTCAAAATTCAATGTTCAAGGCATTTTGTTCAACGTTCAATTGTATATATTTTATAAATATCGGTTTATATATATATATATATATATCGAAATGAATATATTTCAGGGGTCCGGGAAAGTATTGATTACATAAACATTGAATATGAAAATTTTTTGAACTACGATTTCAGTTCAATGAAAAATGAACACATTAAAACAAAAAATATATACATATACATTGCTGGCATTTATTTATTTGTTTAAAATTGAATATTTTTTTCTGATATTTCAAAATGAGAAACAACTTTAAATTTGTTTCAAAATTTTCTTTCTATTTTTGTTTTAATGAGTTAATTTCAATAATTTAGGGTGTATTTTTTTTGAAAAACACAAAAAGAACATTGACATTTGAATGCATTTTGATTGGTTGAGCAGTGATCGTTGCACACACACACACTTTGAGTACGCACACATATATGTATGCACACATACTGACAGACACAAATTCCTTTTTTCGTACTATTCATTGAATTTCAATGCTTTTTGTGGAAAAAATTATTAATTTTCTCAATGTGTTGTACATTTTCTCTGCACAGAAATAATCATCAGTGAATCAGTGAGAGGTGTTGTGTAAGTAAATGAGAGTTAGTGCCTGTGTGTGTGTGTGCGCGCATGTAAGTGCCATGTGTAATTTTTTTCTGATCATTTACTACTTACTACTTACTACTACTTAAGTGAATACAAACATGTGTAGAATAATCAATGACTTACTTGTAATTTTTGTTTTAATGGGCAATATTTTTTCGTGAATTTTTAAATTTTAATTCATTTTATTTTCACAAAAAAAAACAATTAGTTATTTTATTTTTAAATGATTTGTTTAATTTTTTTGAAAAAAAAATTAAAAAATTAATTTAATTTTATTTTTTCTGACAAAACAATTACATACTGTGTGTGTGTGTTTGTGTGTCTATGTAATGGGTTTACAACTACTACAACTTAAAAAAAATACTTTTCTTGTTTATATTGAAATTGACTATTGAACAATTTTAGAAATAAAAAATTTTTATTATTTATTGACCATTGAAACAAAAATTTTTTTTATCATTCATCTTTATTGTTTCTTCATGATAATAATAATTATTTAATTTCATTTTTTTAAATAAATAAATATCTATCCTAAATTATTTGTGTTTCATTAAGCTACATTTTTATTTCGAATCAAATAGGGATCAGTTCAACTGGTGTTCAGCCACACTTCGGTTGCCCACGATCCCCAGTCATCCTGAATGGCAAATCGATTTAAGTCCTCCCAGTTTACATGAAGTTGAGAAAGCTATAGGAAATCTGAAGCGAGGGCGAGCTGCGGGTCCTGATAGACTGACCCCTGAGATATTTAAGGATGGTGGTCCAGTTTTACCAGTTAGACTGACCGAGATCCTAGATAGAATCTGGGAACTGGACTTAATCCCATCTGACTGGTCTCAGTCGCTAATTGTCCCAATCTACAAGAAAGGACAAAAGTCCTGTTGTGACAATCACAGGGGAATAAGTCTAACTAATATAGTTTCTAAATTGTTAGCCTCGATTATACTTAGACGTCTAACTAGAGCTCGTGAAGGGCAGACTAGAGAAAACCAGGCTGGTTTTCGACCTGGACGTGGTTGTATAGACCACACCTTCACACTATGACAGGTCCTGGAACACAGACATACATTTAGACGTCCGATAATAGTCGTGTTTCTGGACCTAAAAGCGGCATTTGACTCAATGGATCGTGAGGTTCTGTGGCAGTGTCTGTCATTGAAAGGTGTACAAAAGAAGTACATAACCCTTATACAAGCTCTCTACTCGAACACCACTGGTCGGGTGAGGGCTTATGGCGAACTGTCATCTGAATTCTCTACATCAAGTGGTGTCCGTCAGGGCTGTCCACTCTCTCCATTCTTGTTTAACTTTGTCGTAGACATCCTCTTAGAGTTAACATTAAGCTCGTCAGATTTTTCAGGGGTTGACCTTCTACCAGGAAAATCGCTTACTGACTTAGAATATGCCGATGACATGTGTTACGAGTGCCTAACCAACGACTGCCTCGACAAGCTATGTTTTGTGGTGTAGGAGTAGATTGGAAGAAAGTTAGGGGTGGCCAGACGAAAACATGGCACAAATCCATGAAGTCATTGACAAGAGAACTGAGTTATGTTGGTAGATGTAGACTACCTGGTTGGTGTCCGCGAGTCGAAAATCACCAGTGGTTAGAGACCTTGAACGACATGTCTCAAAATCGTTTGCAATAGCGCAAGTGCATCCAATCTTTAAGCTCTCTCAAATCCTAATCTTCTGGATTCGTCAGCATCTCTACCTTTGTCTTTCTAACCTTATTTCACTGAATCATACCTCTTGAATAATATCTTCAAACCCTAGTCTTCTTCATTACCAATAATACCTCTACTATCTCTATCTATCACTATGGGATTTGATTTGACATTTGCGTCTCTGTGCTAATGAACTGATGTACTTACTTACGAAGTTCTACGTTGTAACTGACTGACTGACTAAATATTCCCTTTCACAGTTTGTTCTAGAAAATTCGAAGAGTTACAATAATTCGCAACCGTTGAACGAGTGACTGTTAGTTCGATTGCTTGCTCAGCTGAATGACTGATTTTGATTGGATGTTTTGTTGTCTGAGCTAAGGATGTTTTGATTGGTGGAGATTTTATTGTATTCTCTATGTGTAGATTGTGCTGATGATGATGTTCAGTTATAAGAACAAAGAAAGTGTACAATGATGATTATCGCTTCTTGAGTGAATATACACACTCATTTTTAAGATATTTCTTTTTGAGTTACATGAAAAGTAAACATGAATCAATAAGACATTCACTAGTCAGCACATTTTATGATACTTACATTATAGATTTATGATCAATCGATTATCTAGTGAAACTGAATGTGCTGGGTTCGATCCACGTGACTGAATGACGATGAGTCCCATACTAGTGTGGTGCGCGCTACTTATAAGTAGTATATGACGCGAGTAAAAACGTAATGTCTGGCAGCAGAAGATGGGGGGGGAAGATCAAGAAAGGAAGAGTGGGAACACAATGGAATTTGTATGAATCGCATGAATAGTGAAATGTCTGACAATGGATAGATGATGGATTGAAGATTTGCAAATTAACGGTTTACGATATGGTTTTCCTATTTTACTGAGTAACTCTGTAATTTGCGATAAACGGTCGCAATCCTAGTAAAAAGCTGTGACCAGTGGAGCTCAACCCTGTCGGATGTAGGCAGCTAGATCCACAAAAAAATGACTGAGGTTGGTCAAAACCTTAGATTTCGATGAAATCTAACATTCTCTATAACTCTATAATGAATAATCTTAAACTGTGCACACCTTTGACTAGCTTTGTAAGGAGACTGTAGTAATTCTAGTGAAAAGGCTTGACCATTGAAGTTCAACGCTGTTGGCTGTGAGCACTTAGCTACCGAAGAAATGAGTAAGGTCGGTTAAAACCTTAGATTGATCAAAGTTAAATATGAAAACCGTTGGATGTCAGTTCAGCAGTCATGAGTATAGTTGTTCGTGTGTGGGATCGTTCGGTTTCTGCGAGGGGAGGTCGTCAGTGTGCACTGCTGATAAGTCCCAAACCATAACGAAACGGCCGTCAGTGCATTTATGTTTCTAATGATGGCATAACAGTGATTAATTCATAATTGTAATGAAACTCAACAATCTGCGCAACCTTTTAATCAAAAGTTTCACATAACTGTTTTTGATTTTTACTCAGATTTTCAAAAAATTAAAAGTGATACTTAAAATTTCTAGATTCGGTAAATAACAGGTTTTTTGATATTAATTTTTATTTCAAAACGAAGCAATCCTCAAATGTTTCCTGGAATTCAGATCATGGAACAGAAATCATCTACAACCAACTCTATCCTAGGCTTTTCTTCCAATTGTTCTAAAGCAATATACTTTTTTCTGATGTCTGCTTTCATTTTCTGATAAAATCAGTTTTCTCTAACTTTCTTCTCTTTGCCACTAAGGATTCCAAATTAAGGTTTGAGCATGATATAGTTTGGCTATTTGCGCGAGGTATGTTGTATACACCTTCAGAGATTTCTCTTATTTACTTCTTCAACTGGAAGCTCATTTATTGCCTATCACAGTGAGTTTTTACTCAGTCAGTCGCATACAACATAGAATTTCTTATGTACGTACATCAGTTCAAGTTGCCTAACCACATCGGCACACAGAGATCGACTCAACGATTCGAATCCCACAGAAGTAAAGGTAGTAGAAGTATGAGCAGTAATACAGAAGGATAGGGAGGGGAAATACCATTCCAGTAATATATCCCAGAGGAATCAGTTTTTTACTAAACTGAGAGTAAAAACGGTCATGAAGTCGTTCAGAAGATTAGGATTCGAGAGAAAAGAAATATTGCATGCATCTGCGCCATTAAAAATGATTTAAGATCTGGAATCATCAGCTACGATTGTCTGGCGGACCCCAACCCCAAACATGGTTGAATTCACTTGTCAGTGACCTCAAGGATTTGAGCCGTGTTTTGGTTTGGCCGCCCCTTGATTTCTTCCAGCCCACTCCTACACCAGGCATCATCGCTCTCCGAGAAAGCCAGTGGTTGGACATTTGTAATATATGTCCCAACCCCCAAACTGGTAAAGTTTCACTACTTCATCTATCGATCTGCCATGCTTACCTAGTGCTCGTCTCCTAACAGCGGTATTGCTTACTCGATAATCCTAAGATAAAGGAGCAATACTTCGGAGACACCTATTGTTGAAAACCGACACCCTACAAATATCTTCTACTCTTACTGGCCATGTCTCACAGCCATAAATTAGGACAGATCGAACTGCTGCACAGTAAACCCATCATTTAGATAACAGACAGATATCTCGCCTACGCCATAAGATACACAAGTTCGCGATAGCCAATCGAGCCTTCTGTATTTGTGCTGAGATTTCTCCAGACACCAGACTATCATCACTAATGAGACTCCTCAAATAAATGAAGCGGTCTACACGCTAAACTATTTTGCTCCCTATCACTAGTTCAGGTGCCGATGGAACCCAATCTCGAAGCAAAACTTTGCATTTGGAAGGGTTAGGATCACATCTCAATCACGCTTGCATTGTTTCTTATGATGTTCACAAGACTTTGGATTTTGTCAGCGTCTTCATCAAATAGGTCTATGGTATAGGCATATTCTAAGTCAACATGCATTCTTCTGATAGGAGAGGATCCAGACAATGACAGCTTTATTTATAAAAGCATTTTAATGACATTATTAAACAAGAATGGAGAAAGCAGACAACCCTGCCGAACATTACTTAAGGTAATAAATTTCGGATGACAGTTTGCCATAAGTTCTCATTCGACTAGTAGTGTTCGACTAGAGTGCTTGTACAAGGTGTTAGGATATTCGTCCAATATCTTAAGAGAATTATTGGTCAAATCATATTGGTCGATTTCTATTGGTCAAAATCATGGTCGTTTTAACTGTCAAAGTCAAATACTTCAATGATGTCTCTTACTGGTCATTCGGACTGTCAATGTCATTTCAAATGTTGCTTCCTATTGGTCGTCTTAACTGTCAATGCCACAAAATTCGATGCTGTTTCCTATTCGACCAAAATGTATAAATACGCATTATCTGTAACATTTTATGACCACGACCATGAGCAGGACCAGGTCCCCGATCCCTAGTCTGGGATCCCGATTCTCTTCTGGATTCGGACCTCGTTCTTTCTTGATGCTTGTAGAATACA